AATCTCTCTTTAATCAGATTAATAGACAATTATTGGCATTGAAATGTGCATTAATTGAAGTATTATGGGTTTCAAGAATTAATGATTCGCATGAACTTCAAAATTATTATACAATACTGTATATCGATCGGTGGCTACATTTACATGCATTTCATGTCTACACATATAAAGTGAACACACACAAAATACATAATAAAAGTGCTTTAAAATTATATTTTGCTATAAATAAATAATGCCCATATTTTTTAAAAAGGATGATTTATACATCAAAACACGAAAACATGAAAAAAGCATTTATTAATTAGTTTCGTTGCGAGAGAGAGAGAGAGAGAGAGAGAGAGAGAGAGACAGATTGTATATATTATTTAATGCTAACCAAACATATTTGGAGAAATATAACAAAAAGAGATGAAAATTCAATAAATGCTATGAAAAATACGAAAATAATATTATTCCAACATTAGTTTCATCTCATTAGACATATGGCATACCAGTGCTCTCTATCTATCTTTCTATCTATTCATTACCACTGTTTGCAGTAATAACAGTGTTTTTCCATTACTGGGAGCTTTTTCAAAATAATTGCATTTTATTTTTGAATCAAACAGAATATAAAAGTAGTTATTATTTGGAAATTAAATTTAGACTAAACATTGAATACAGAAAAAATTATATGACTAAAATTAATTAATAGATTAAATTAGACATTTTTGACGCAATGTTTTAGTTAAAAGTCATAAAATCCGATGACAAATGCACTCAAATTAGTCTTTAAACATGATAAATATAAAAGTGAAACAAAAAAACTTATTTTCAACGCTATTTCGAAATATAAAAAGTGCCGTAAATTCAGAAATACATTTCAAAAATAAAATTCATTTCATTTAAATGCGAAAAGAAAATCCTGGATTCAAATTAGATATACTTTCCAGAGATCCCTGACTATAAATCTCACAGAACTCGATATAAAATGTATAAATAAATCAAAAGACAAATTAAATAAAGATTTTTATTCGTCACCGGAATATATACATAGGGTATAGAATCTATTAAACTATATGATAAGTATATATACAGTATTAAGGCATAAATTATTGATACAAATGATTGCCTAAAGAATAAGAAACTAATTTAAATATTCTATACAATGAAAAAGCCGGTGAATATACATAATATATATTATATGTATATGTATGTACATAAAGCGATATATATTAATAATATTCCGTGAGCTTTAAATCATAGAATATTCTGTGATTTTATTCTCTCTATTCAGACACTACTCCCACGTGTGAGTTGAGATAGATAGGAGGGAACGGGAGTTTGAAATCGATTTTTCGTTTTGCTTTTAAGTGTATTGTATTGTGAAATTCAAACACAAAATCTTCAAAAAATATAATTAATAAAAAGACAGAAGAAGTGTATTTTAGGAGAAAAATAAATTGAATATTAAATTAAATTTCTAGTCGAAAGCGTCGAAAAATATTTTAATAAACTTAATTAATTTGAATTTAATCTAAAATATTTAAATATATTTAAATATTAAACATGTATTCCCGGCGCACAAATATACTATGTATATGATTAATGTGTATTTTTAACAAAAAGTTAAATAAACAATATTCCGATATATTAATGAATATTCATTACAAACAAATTTTAACCATAAATCATTTATATTAATTTGTAAATTTATTTTAAGGCATTGAGAAAATTTTTGTAATTATTTCTCACACTTTAATAATTTATTTAATAGTCTATATAATTTAATGGAAAATTTTCAAAAATCATAACATTTCTAAATGACAGTTCCAAGAACAGGTACTTTACATCCATATCCCTAATAATCCATATCATAGTAACAAAAAATAAATTGATAAATAAATCCTTTAGTTAACTAAAAAATATTATTATGAAAAACATGTCTAGACTTTTGACACATGATATCTCGACGGATGAGAAATAGGTATTTAAAGGGGAGTTTTGGACCAGTTTTCGGAAATTATATGTTTGTCTAACAAATAAAAACCTGAAATCAAATGTAATTTTTATTACTACAAACTTCACCTCTCATAATACGATAACTATAGAGTCGATAACATTAAGAAAAATCTAGAAAACCATTTGAAATGATCCGTCAAAACATCACAACTCATCCGTATGTTAATATGAGACCAAAAGTGGTGTTATTTAATAATCAATTTTGATATTTGAGCCTATATTTAGAGAAATATGACTCAATTATTTACCATTAAAATAGAGATATTCATTACAAATTCCGTGAACTAATCGATTTAAATTGAATATTGCTCAATGAAAATTTAATACCTTGATAATGATGCAAAATGATTGATTTATTTCTAACAAAAAGTCATTAATATTGAAAATATAAATTATATGACTTTAATTTGTAAAGAAGTCATACTTTCTAAGGACCTAATTCTCTAAGAATCCATAAATTCTTTATGAGTAAAAAATGTGATAAAATATTCTGTACTATACTGTAGGATAAAAAACTTTTGCGCCATAATTGATATGAAACTTATTCATCAAACATATAATATATCGTTGAAAATCTATAATCAAAATGCAATAAATCATTCACTCATTCACTTCGTATACGAATCGCGAGCTTTTGGACCCAAAAAATATAAATCAAAATCAGAGACAGGAATCGATTGTTTGCTAACAGAATACTACACAATATTATCACAGATAAAGCGATTCCCGTATTATAACTCATATAAGAAAATATTTGACTCATTCATCACAAAGTATATATAAAATTTATGTCAAAAATTCATTCAATTATCTTTAAAAAATTCAACAAAACTTTTTTTCTAAACTAAATAATCAATGAATACAAATGAAAAGTGTATGTGAACTGAATTTTAATGTAAAATATTCAATTATATTCTAATGAATCGCTACTATATTGTATAAACAAAGTAATATAATAGATTAAATTTTCCTATAAATACCATTAAGAAATAAGAAATAACTTGAAATTAAATGTATTAAATCAATAGAGTGTAGGCAAAATATTTTAAAAACTCATTATAAATTCAATTGAAAGCCTACTGTTATATAAACGGATAGCAAAAACGAGTGGGAATTGAGTTGCGATGTAAAGTACAAAGAGTTTTGTAAATATAAATTCAGTTTATGTTAAGACTAAGTATAGACTCAATGAATGATTCATAAGAATCGTGTTTCAAATATAACACATATTCTGTGTACCGAAAAACCAAACGTTAAAATTAGTGACAGAGAGGGGGAGGGAGTGTCGAAAAATAAAATAAATTTTGTTATAAACAGTTTTTGGGTTAGAAAAAAGTTTTTAGTTTCAAAAAATAAAAACTTATTCATTCGACACTTTAAGACACTTATAGCATAACCACCGAAAAAAGTAATAACAGAATATTCTGTATTGATTTGAAAATGATATTTCTGGTACTCAAACGGTATGGCAATGATTGATAGGTTTTTACAATCGCATGACATGTCTCATAAGTCTCGCAAAAAATAAGTCCACGTCTTGTGAGAAAAAATAATTGTTATACTAATCGATGGAAACACAATGTTATATAGACTTAAATATTGTTTAATTATATTGACTCTTATTCTTATAATAATAAAAATACACTCCATTAATCCGACAATACATTAGTAGCTAGTTTTATTTACTTAAATGTAAACGTATAGAAATAATAGGGAAATAAAAATATAAAAATAAGTCTTTATTTTTAACTAAACAATAATAACACATTAACTAAACACACATTTTGTAATTAAT